CTACACTACTGATGACGTTATCCAGCCAACAAGACATTGAATCAAAAAAAGCTCTCGTCAATCAACATTGTTATATTGTTAACATGTGCAGTTGAAAGTCATTGAAACGTCACTAAGTTAGTTGTGGTCTAAATAACACTGCAAAATTCTATGTAGTAGATATTAACACTTATGTCCTGCATGTTGAAGAAGAAATTATTAGTATACATCAACGTAATGCAATTCAAAACTAATGTAATAATATTCATTGTTAACAGAGTAATTCATTAAAAAAACAATGTTTCCAAACCATTTTGTTGAGGAAGACAATTGTGTGCCGTCAACATTACTGTCAAGTGATGTCAACAACGACACAAAACCAGTGGTACCCACTGTTGATGGCTACAAAGGGCAACATTTACATGAGTTTTGACATATGACTTTACTGCCATTTTACATAACATATACTGCATAAACAGTATATCAGTCCCGCAAAGAAATTCAAATGAATTGCATATCACACTTTAAATAAAGGAAATTCAATTGAACAATCACTATAACATGAAATAAATTTCATTTCTGACACACACCAATCCAGATGGCCGATAATCAAAATGAGTTTCTACGTGAAGGGTTGAGTTTAACAACTCGGACGAAGTTCCTTCAGTGTTCCCCTGTAATGGCGAAGATAAGATATTAATGTACTTATGAAATCATCGCATAGAAAATAACATGACAGTTGTGGATATAATACTTACAATATTTGTGGTGCACGTGTGCTGGACTTTATTTTTTAACCTTTGCGTTGCAATTTTTTCAGTTGTTGACACCTTTCGGAGTGAACGTGGTCTTCCTTTCCTTTTAACTTGCAACGGGCTGCCAATGTCAATGTCAACGTTGTCAACATATAAGGTTTGTGAATCTGTAGGAGTATTAATTTCGCAGATATTGGTATCTATTTCAGTTTGAGAACGTTGAAATGTATGTGTTGGAGCAAATTTATTCATCATTTCATGCAACATGTTCGTCTGCTCAATTGACTCTGATGCAACTTTCGCAATCTCATAAAATCTTTTGCACAACTCATCATATCTTTCAATCTGCGGTTGTTTCTCCTTTACATTGTACGTGGTTTTCATATAAGTATGCTTCCTTCTCACATTTTTACTCCATCTACTTAAAATGTATTTGCACACAATCTTTTTAACCCTTTGTTGAGCAAGGACGACCAAACAATGTCGGCAAAGAATACCTTTGAATTCAAATAGCAAGCACGTGTAACTAACATTTTGGTCATCACGGTTGAAACTTACATTGTACAGGTGTTCTTTAGAATCTTCACTGCAAAAAGATTCCTCCATAACGTCATAAAACCAAGCAGATCCAAGGCAAGACACATGCACAACACTGCAGTTCATTTTTCCTCTAAATTCTGCTTGAACCTCTGCAAATTTTGCATGTGTGTACTCCAACTTAAATTGCCTCTCTATCATAGACTGTGATCCACAATTAATAATTGTATGCATGGATGCAAAATCAGCTTCATATTCCTTCTCAGCCTTGTCTTGTAAGGCATTTTCATACTGCTTGACAAATTGTTGGAGGGATGTCATTGAGTTGATATATCCATCAAAAAACTTTCACTTCGTTGTGTAGTTGACATCCCAGCCCAAAATTGGTTTTTCAAAAAGCATGGAACCCATCTCTGTTTCTCTTGGAAAAGGCTATTCAACCACTCATTGTCTTGTAAGCCAAAATCTGATATGAAATTAGCCCATTTGGATGTGAATTCAGATATGGTGGAAGACTCATAAACAACCTCCTTCATAGCATACTTCATATTTTTATATTCTGCATAACCTTTCAACTTTTCTGGAATTTTTTTCATTATATGCCATAGACACCACCTATGACGGGCTTCAGGAAAAACTATCTGAATGGCATTTTGCATTGCCTTGCACTGGTCAGTGATAATACCCGTAGGAGCCTTCAATGACATGCAACGTAACCATGATTCAAATAACCAAATAAAAGAAGTGGTGTCTTCACTTGATAACAACCCACACCCTAACAATATGGAGTGTCCATGATGATTTACACCCACAAATGGTGCGAACGGCATGTCATATTTATTGGTCAAGTATGTTGTATCAAATGAAACAACATCGCCAAAGTATTCACAAGCCGCCCTACTTCTAGCGTCAGCCCAGAAAACATTTTTCACATGATTATCATCATCCAGGTCTATATCAAAATAGAAATCCTTGTTTAAGTCCCTCATTTGTGAAAAATAATTCAATAGAGATTTCCCATCACCTTCTTTTCCTAGTGCACGTCTTTGTTTATTGACATAGTTGCGTACATCTCGTTCGACAAATTGGAGGTTTTCATAACCTCCTGCACTACTAACAACTGACCGAAAGCTTTTATTGATCCTCACACCTGCATCATCATTTATGTCTAGAGTCCTCTTCACATGCAAACTAATGTTTCTATTGCTTCGAAACATTCTGGATTTCTTTGGGCTAAGAGAATGTGAATGTTCATCATTTATCGACATAATATACCATAGTCCTTCCTTTAATCCAACTGTTATCCATGCAGGACATGAATTTGTTTTGGTGGGTTGGGTTCTAATTTCAGTTGGTGTAGCAGAAACATACTTACCTGCCCTTGCACACACCAACATGAAGTACCGCAATTGGTTATCAGGTCCCTTCTTTGAACTCCTTGTTTTGATGCCAAATCCTTTTTGTATGGCATATTGTCGATAAAATGACTTAACTGCATCTGCAGTTTCAAAGGACATTCCTACACATGGAACAGAACCGTCGTATTTTGTTGTAGTCCTAACATCTACGTCAGGAGATCCTTCATCATGGCCAACCAACACTTCTTCATGTAAACTTGTGACATCTGCATTACTGGGTATGTTATCATGTACACCTATCATTTCTTGGTCTACACCTTTGAGAGGACCATCACATTTTTGTACATCCGCATCACTACCTATGTCATCATACACGGCCAAAATGCCTTCGTTGACAGCTACATCTCTGTTTTCATTTATATCTCCCATGCTAGATAAACGATGAAGGATACAATTCCTACCATTGACAATAATATAATAGCAACCATCTCCTTTAAATTATATTCATATTACAATACACTAGTTTACCTACTTACATCATGCAAAGATACAAAACCAAACACAAGTTTAGGAGGCATTATGAACCGTATTACAAAGCCTAACCTAAAATTTAGCCACGAAAGTGCCTATTTTATGTAGTTAAAATTTAACCCTATTCATTGTGCCATTTGATCAAATAGTTGGTGACCAGATTTGTATATTGTAACCCAACAAGTAGAAAAACACTTTGAACACCACTTTCATAACAAACTATTTACAAATTAAACAGCTAACGAACCAATTATTCAGCAAAAAATTCATGAAAATTGTAGACTAACATGAACATAGGCACAAAACGAGAAGAATGCACTTACTTGAACCGTAAAAATGCATCTTAGGAAAAGGATCTCCGATAGATAATGATAATGGAGGAGATTGATGGCGAGAAGAAGGTAACAATCAACAAATTTCTTCAACGTCAGTGCTTCTATCGCACAGATGTGAAACAGGTGACTGTCGGCATCGCTCACTGATTTTACCTTTAGGTTACACGTAAGGTCTCTTGAGCGAATTTATCGTCGCTTACATTTAATTATGACAGATAAATTAATATTATAATCTATTAGCATAATATAACCGATCATATACCACTTATAATCGATCATCATAACGTATAATCGATTATAACCTAAAATAATCGATCATTTTATCTGATTTTTCTAATATCGCTCAAGCGAAATTCACATCGCTCGAGCGACGCCACCTGCTAAGATTGGGGATTCTCGGGTTGTGTTTTGCTTGAGCGACACTATTCTCGCTCGCGCGATATCCGATTCAAACATGTGGTCACCCATGTTACATTATACGGCTAACTTTGATAGAAGTTTAGCCACAGGTCAACATTCGCTCAAGCGAAACTAACATCGCTCGAGCGACGCCACCTGCTAAGATTGGGGATTCTCGGGTTGTGTTTTGCTTGAGCGACACTATTCTCGCTCGAGCGATATCCGATTCAAACATGTGGTCACCCATGTTACATTATGCGGCTAACTTTGATCGACGTTTAGCCACAAGTCAACATTCGCTCAAGCGAAATTTACATCGCTCGAGCGACGCTACCTGCTAAGATTGGGGATTCTCGGGTTGTGTTTCGCTTGAGCGACATTAGTCTCGCTCGAGTGATATCTGATTCACTTTTAAGAGCGGTTAAAGTGGAACCGCTATCATATAGGTGTCACTTTTAAGAGCGGTTAATACTTTAACCGCTCTTAAAAGTGATCATATAATAGCGGTTCCAAGTTAACCGCTATTTAAAATATACTTTTAATAGCGGTTATTTCTAGGACCGCTCTCTTTAGTAGGTTTAGATAGCGGTTCTGGGAACCGCTATCTAAAGTCCCAATTTAAAAAAAAATTATTTAAATTTGAAATGTCAACGGAACCACGTTGACGATGTTGCCGGAAAAATTGTATAACGCGGTGGTGAGTGAGTTCGACTGACAAGTTGGGCAAGTTCACAACTGCGTGAGGAAGGTCGAGGTCGAGGAAGGAATGAGAAAGTTCTGTGCTACAAAAATGAGAATCGGAGAAGGAGGAGAGATGGGCAAGGGAATGAATTATTTAATAATAAAAATACTGTATATTTAATATTTTTTTATTTAGTAACACTGTACATTTATTATTTTTTTATTGGGTTGTCGAAGGGATATTTAAAACCGGTTGTTAAAATATCAGGACTCTTTGTAAAGAGAGAACTGGACCGTCTCTCTAAAAGACAAAGGGTATTTGAATGTAATGCTGCTCTTTGGTTTGATTGTAGCAAATCATGCTTTGACATTCAACACAAGCTTCAATTCTTCACTATGCCGCAAGTGTTGCTGAAATCTTGTTCCTACCTGTTTTTTTCCATTGCCAAAAACTTGTGCCTCCCAGTTATCAAATTTGCATCATGCATCATTGTTGAATTTGATAGTTTTAGATCTTGTTCAGATACCCAACGGTACCCGTATTTCTTTACTTCAACCGGAAAAATTTTCGCTTCCATTTGCCCGTGTTTCTTAGTCAGGAAAACTGTCTCGTCCATTTGTCCGTGTTTCATCGTGTATTCACGGAAATCTTCCATGTCCTGTATTTTCATTTTCATTTTCAAGCAACCAATATTAGGTGCTTCCGTAGAATTACATTGATCAATGAACTCTTCATGAGTTAAGTAGAATATCCACATGTGATCTGAATCGTCCATGAGTAGATCTCTCCTGACATCGACCGGAATTGTAACACGAAAATCTGATGTTTTTCTTGGAGAATGCATTTCCCGTACCTGGAAGATTGCACAACACACAACTACGATCCAATTATTGTCATGCATAACGGGAGATGCATCTATGACTATTGAGTTGTCCATGCTCACATGCTGATAGTTAAACCACCTCGGTATTTCACTTCCAGGGATAATACTTTCAACATCTGGACCAAGACATCCGTATTGGTGGTTTGCCTTGTATCACAACAGAGTTATGCATTAGTTGCTGGTTTCCTGTACAAAAATAGATAACAAAGAAGGGAAGAGGAAGGAAGGAGCATGCACACCTGAAAAATTTGTATCATCCATGAAACACTCATGCTAGTGAATCTTTCCCTATCAACTAACTCTGGGCAGTTGAAAACGATTAATCCTGCACTAACTTCGTCGTCTGGAATAAAACGTGTAGCTACAGACGGTGAATATGACAAGTCGACACTGTAAACATCTGAAGGCAACTGAGTTCGTGAAGGGAGATTAGGAAAATATTTCAACCGCTTGCAATGCTGTATGTTTAAATTATAGAGTCTGAAAAGGTCCTTGAGGCTGGGAAGCGTAACAAAATTGTTTCCCTTTAAATTTAGCTTTTCTAAGCAATGTAACTTTTCAATGGCATCAGGGATTTGAACTAAGTTACAGAAACTTAGATCTAGTTCACGCAAATAAGGGAGAGTAGCAGAGGAAGGTATCAAATAACTAATCGAGTCTCTTTGTGCTCTGGAATACAACAAATCTAAAGGCCACCTCACAAGCCACTTTTTTATCAAAGAGGATGTTGACTGGGAATGAATAGGAGCTTCAACTAAACAAAGCTTCTTTAAATTCTCTTCATTCCTTGGTTCATCTATTAACTCATTATTGTACAGTTTTGAGCAGCCAGAAACACTGAGATATTGAAGAGAAGTCAGGCCGAATATGCTTTTGGGTAAGCTTACTAGGTTTATGCAGTTTGTCAAATTCAAAACAGCAAGCTTTCTCAGAAGACCAAGGGATGGATTGATTTTTCTGAGCTTTATACATCCTTCAAGAGCTAGCCTTTCAAGATTTAGTGCATCTCTAAGATCGGGCATCTCAACTAAATTTTTGGAGAAAGAGAGGTCCAAACGTTTCAAGTTGTGCAAAGGCTAGATTGGCAAATAGAAGCAGACAAAATTAATAATGACACTTGCTTGGGTTTTCTTTAGTTTCTTAAATGAAGTAAAGATAAAAGGAAATAAAAAGAGTTTTTCTTTTAATTGATTTACTTCAAAAAAATAATAAAAAATAATTTACATTACCTTTGTGCCATGCCACAATCGATCAATGTTGCTCCCACGTAGATTCAACTCAACTAGTTTGCCTGGCTGGAAACTTGGAGGCAAACAATCAAAAGCATATTTGTTCCAAATAAGATATCCTAATTCATTCGAAAGGTAACTGAGACTTCCTAAAGAGTTCATGTCTTCAACATTAAGCAACTTCAGGTGTTTAATTTTTGATATAGGATCTGCCCTCATTGCTGTTTCAACAATCTTTCCTGAATAAGATCGAATAACTATAGGTTCAAGATTTTCAGTTGCTTACAAACATTACATGGAATAATGAAATTATTACATATATTTTGAATTATTTACAGATTTAAAAAAAATGGCAACCTAAGACTTCACAATTAAACTATTAATTTCACCTGATTGTCTAACAAGGCATTGCGGAGATCTTGGTTATCCCACAACCTACTCCACTTTATTGGCTCCTTAGGTGATTTTTCACGAACAATACACCTGCCTAAATCCCTCAACAAGCTATGCATTTCAATATTCTCATATTCAATATTTATGAGTGATTTATCAAGGAGAAGTTGTACGCCATATTCAGGTTGAAATCCACGGAAATTTAGAACTTCCTTCACAAATTTTTCATGATAACCGTTGAGGAAGCATGCAATATCCAGAAATATTTCTCTGTCTCCTACATCCAGCTGATCAAAACTTAAACGCAAAACATTCATAATATTTCCACTTTTATTATCTTTTAGCCTACCCAATGCACTTTTCCATTGTGATGCATTTCGACCATATAGAGATGAGCCAATTACTTCAATTGCCAAGGGATGTCCTTGAGCATGTGATAATACATCACGTGCCAACTTTTCATATTCGCTCAAAATAAAATTGACTTTGAAAGCATTCCTACAAAACAACTGTACAGCATTTTCCTCGTTCAACGGCTGGACTTTATAAACATCATCCACTCCATGTGTTCTCAATACATGTTCATCCCTGGAAATTATGATGATTCTGCTCCCTCCACCTAAGAGTTCACGCAACATAGTGTTTCTATTCCCTGTAAACATCCTTAGTTGTTCAACTTCATCAACATTGTCCAAAACAATAAGTGCCCTTGCATTGCGTAGCCTAGTCCACGCCAAACATGTTCCCTCAAAAGCATTGCAAATCTCTAGATTTTTCTCCTTTAGAGTCTGGGACAGTAACTGCTTTTGTACACCTACTGAACTAGAATCTCGATAAATTTTGCTTACATCATCAATAATACAATGAATATCATATTGATGAGAGATTCTTTCATGTAAAGCCCGAGCAAGAGTAGTCTTTCCTATGCCACCCATCCCACTAATTCCAACAACTCGAACCTCATTCATTGACTCCAAACAAAGAAGATTTGCTAATTCTTCAACCCGAGACTCTATTCCAACTAGATCATCATTTGGGAGACTTAATATTTTGGGACCCAATATTTTAGTATGTTATGAACAATTTGTTCAATTTCTGCATATTGTGGCCTGGAATTTAAAATCAAATGAAGAATGCCACATCATTAGCCAAGAGAAAGAAATTCGATTTTACATGAATATATAATAACATAGAGATATTTTATTTTTTAAAAACTTTATATCAAACATATACATATATATATATATATATATATATATATATATATATATATATATATATATATATATATATATATATATATATAAAGATCTGTTAAGAAATGAGAAAGGATTAATTACTTGTTTCGGATATCCCAACCAGAGAGATTGCCCACATGAGTGAGAGCTTCTCTCCACCTCTGCACTTCCTCCATCTTCTCTTTATCTTCTTTGAATCTTTCTTCGTGTTCTGCAAATGCTTTTTTATAACATCCACTCTGTTTTCGCACTTCTGAAGGATCAACATCGTAAAATATCGGCACCACAGATCTTCGTGATGTTTTTACGCATTTACATATCTCTGCTAGTTCACGCAAGCACCAAGTAGAGAAAGCATAGTTTTTTGAGAAGACCGCAATGAAAATGCGAGACCCTTGAATGGCTTGTAGGAGCTCTGGTGCTATGGATTCGCCTTTCTTCAGATCTTCATCATCTTTGAAGGCATCAATCCCTTTCGATCGAAGAGCTTGAAAGAGAAAACCAATGAAGTTGTTGCGCGTGTCTTCACCACGGAAGCTCACAAAGATATCATACGTCTTTATCACCTCAGATGAATAAGAGGTGCATTCGATAATTGCTTGAGAAGCCATTTCAATTGGATTTAGTGGTAGCAAACATGTTGAGAAGGTGCCAATTAAGGACAAGTATTTCTAGATATTACAAAGCGTTGACATTGATGGAATATCAAATAATGGAGGCATTTTATTTTTCCACTTCTCCCATTCTGCGAAGCTTAAGAATTACATGAAATGAAAAGACAAAAACTAATTGTGGGTTTTACACAGTTTTCTTGGGAGCTTCTCCCACTTAGTCATATTTGTTTATCAAGATTCTTCCACTAATTGTGCTTCTCCATGTTGCTTCGCTGGTGGTCAGAAGTTGACCCCAATTAGTTATTATAAAACCAATAGACACACATATATATATCCATTGTACCAATTATGACATCAGAGGAATACGTTAACGCTAATGTGTTTGATTCAAGCTATAGGAATTCACAGGATGGTACTGATTATTTGAAGAGATTTAATAAGTTTGTTTTTTTTTTATTGTATTTTTTAAAATGTTATTAATTAATTAAAACTTAATTAAATTTTTAATTCCCCTACCATAGGATGCTTTAATTTTAGTTCCTATCTAAATTTTATTTAGTTTTCATCATTTTTAATTTTTCTTTTTAGTCTCTTGTGTAATGTTGATAATATTACCGTGATTGCCTCCTCTCCCATTCCCATTTTTATTTTGTCATTCAACTTTAAAGCTCTAAAACTCTACTATTCTCACTGCTAAGCTAATGGTAATTTTCTATCATTGTTGAAGTTGCCTACAAATCTTATTTGTGGAAGTAGTCTCTATATTGCGCATGTGAATTTCATAATTTAGTTATGTCCGTATTTTTGGGCTTACACTAAATTGATTTATTAGATACGTGACTATGGAGATTTTTATAAACTTTCAACCAAAATGTTATACCAATCTTCGTTAATGTCAAAGAACATACATACTAGATGTTGTTGTGCGAGTAGAGTTAATATGATACTTGTGTGGAGAGCTGGATAACCATGGCTTTATTCTCAAACAGTATGCTCTAACATTAATAAGCTACTTACGTGCTTTGATTTTATTGTATTGTTGATATATATATATATATATATATATATATATATATATATATATATATATATATATATATATATATATATATATATATATATATATATATATATATATATATATATATATTATTTATTATTGTGTGTTATATGAATATATTATTTTATATTATGGGATAATCTTATATTATTAGAATTTTTTTCGTCTTTTATAATTTTTTTACAATTTTGCACCAGGTTAGTAGGTCGTCGCTGTTGTTGTCCCTTGACTCCGACTGTCACCACCTCCAGAACCATGACAAGGACGAATTCTGAGACCAACCCAAATTCGTGAAATCGATGATAATGATGCATAAGTTGTGTTGAGAAAAAGAAATGGTAGGGATAATTCAGGAATTGATAAGCAGTGTTGTTCAAGTTTGAAACTTGAAACCTCTGTCTGCCTAAGTCGATACACTATATAAGGGGAATCTGAGAGAGCTTGATCAGAGACAATAATGAATATTCTTCCACTGATATTTAAGCTGAAATACATGGAAAGTTGGGATGGGATCAATAGGTTAATTTCTCCAAATTTTATGTGTCAAAATAGAATCTACTTGCACTATCACCTGTAGCAAGAATGATTAACTCTTGAGTAATCTTTGTAACAATATTCCTTTTGGCCTTTCTTCATAGTGTATCACATGCAAACTGTCACTAGACATTGGAAATACATGACCAACTCAACCATTCTTCATCCAGCCATACTTATGACAGAACACATTCAACAGGGAATGGTGAGAATTAACATCACTGTTGTTGTAGCCGTTGGAGGTGTGTGAACTACCATCTAAGATACCGTGTTATTACATTCAGGTAAGCTTTCCAAATGTAACTTGATTCATACATTTTTCAAGGGTTGATAACATAAGGTTGTTGCTTATGTAATATTTGTTGAGAATTTACTCCAACATGGAAAGACACTCTTAAAAATAAGACATAATTAATTATTCTCTATTTTTTTCCAATAGCTTAGTTGTTTTATGTATTTGTGGAGATGTATGTTTTGTGTTTATATTCTCTATTCATTATACCATTTATATTATAGAATTTGATATTACAATAAATTTTAATTAAAGATGGGGTGAGTTTAAAATTTTATTTAATATGATATTAGGACTTAAAAAAAAACATTTTGATAGATTTTTTTATAATATTTAATATGTATTATAAACGAACAAATAATAGTAAAGTTACATATTTGTTGCTTAACATTATTCAAAAAGTTTATTTAGTCTGATATCAGGGTTTTAACATTTGAAAAAAAAAAGTTTTAATAGAGAAATTTTTTAGTATATTATTTAATATTATTATAAACATATTAATAATAGTAAAAGTACATATTTGTGAGTTAATATTATTCAATATATGTAGAATGCTTCACAGTATATATATAATTTACTGTAACCAATTCAGTTATTATTTGTAGGTGATGAATGAGAGTTAAAAGTAATTACAAATTAGACACCATTTAACAAAAAGTAATAAGTCACTGATATGCAATATTAGATTTTGTGTGGATTTAATAATGAGTTTTTTTATGTGACTTTGATAATTATTATAAAGTATAAATAATATACGTATTAATAATGTAAACAACTTACTTAAAAATTATACCATATGATATTTATATTATAGAACTATATTTAATTATAATTATAATAAAACTACTAGTGAACTGTATGATTTGGCACCATGTTTCAAATTCATTTTGTAAGAAAAATTCGGTGACAGTCAGCCCTAAGTCAAACAACAAATGCATTGTAGTTTATTAACAATTTGGATGTGCTTGCTTATTTGGTATTTTGGCCTGTGATCATACTTTGTCATTATTGGTATCCTTCTAAGTATGTTGGTAAGCTAAGCTAGAGTTTTTTGGTCTGAAGTTGAAGGACATTCAATGACATGGTGTCTCATGCTTGTTTGTGTCACAACATATTTGTTATGCTGTTTCTGGTACTGTAATGTAATTGTTTTGGTCTGCATTTTCTGCAGAATATTCTTGGTACTGCATTCCTATGGTTGTAATTGGTTGAACACATGTTATGTATGTTTCATTTACTCATTCAGGAGCATTTCATTTAGCTTATAAATAAAACCACTTCTTATCAGTACACGAATGTTATAGTTGGGTAAAAATTTATTTCCAACTCATATATTCATATATATATATATATATATATATATATATGGACTAAAGACTTGTTTTCACATAGAAGAAAATTTAAATATTAATTAAATTAAGACAATCCCACAATATTTAACCATTATCCCCTGCATTATTAAGAAAACCAGCTGACTTAAGGCTTGTTTTCACATTCCCAGGTACGTGTATCTGAAGTCCTGTTCCTAACTGTTCTTTTCCATTGCTAAACACTAGCGCTTAAGAGTTACCACATTTCCACCATGGATCCTTGTTGAATTTGATAGTTCTAGATCTTGTTCTGATACCCAACGGTACCCGTATTTCTTCACTTCAACCAGAAAAACTTCATCTTCCATTTTTTCCAATTTCAGTGAGGAATCACGAAAAGTATCCAGGTCTCTTATTTTAATTGTGAATTTCAGGCCACCAATATTAGGCATGTCCCGATCTCTGCATTGACCAATGAACTCTTGCCGAGTTAAAAAGAACGAGTAGAGATATTTTTAGAATGAGAAATCATTCAACTCTCAAAATAACTCATTTTTATTAATATAATAATTTATAAAATGGTTTAATAAAAATAAAAATAAATTAAAATTATTATTATAATATTAAAAGAGAGTTGTTTAATAGAGTTATATGAAATATCTCACTTTTATTAATATAATATTTTATAAAATAATTTAATAAAAATAAAAAATAAATTAAAATTATTATTATAATATTAAAAGAGAATTGATTAAAGGAGGTATATGAAATTGGATGCTAAAAAGTATCATTTTCGAAAAAGAATAACCACATGTGATCTGAATCGTCCATAATTATATTTCTTCTGACATCCACGGGAATTCGATCATAAAAAAATGGTATTTGTATTAGAGAAGTAATTTCTCCTACCTGAAATATTACAACACACAACTCCAATCCAATAATTGTCATGAGTGACGGGAGATGCATCTATGATTATCAAATGTTGCATTATGTTATGGAGGATCGAAGCAGTTGTTAGAGGCTATGTTGATTCGGATTTTGCAGGTGATCTGGATAAAAGGAAGTCTACTACTTGGTTATGTGTTTACCATCAATGGAGGGGCAGTAAGTTGGTTATCCAAGTTACAAGATGTGGTAGCTCTGTCTACTACGGAAGCTGAATACATGGTTGTCACCCAAGCATGTAAAGAAGCTATTTGGATTAAAAGAATAATGGGGGAACTTGGTCACAAGCAACAACAAATTGTTGTGTACTGTGATAGTCAAAGTGTCTTACACATTGCAAGGAATCCAGCCTTTCATTCGAGGACAAAACACATAAGAATAAAATATCATTTTGTTCGAGAAGTAGTAGAAGAAGGAAGTGTAGATTTACAGAAGATTCACACTGAGAAGAACCTAGCAGATGTAATGACAAAGCCGGTTAATGCTGACAAGTTTATACGAAGTCGATCCCTTTATGGCCTATCGAAAGCATAAGCAACATGGATGTGAGAGAAGAAGACATAGTGTGAAGATTTGATTAATTTCATCAAAATCTTCAAGTGGGAGATTGTGAAGAAAGAAGTCCCACATCGGTGGGAACTTCAATTGGGGGGCTCTCCTCCTTCTTATAAAAGGAGTCCCTCCCTCCTTATTTCAACATCCCAAAAATTTCTCCTTCTTTCTCTTTTACTTTCCGAGTATTTGTAATTTCTAATTGTAAAGGAAAGGGTAGTCATTATAAAATTTCAATTTTTGTCTATTGCCAGTGTTATTTTTCTAGTCTCTATTTTAGTTGTGTGTATTTGTGTTGTTAGTCTGATCCTAACATGAATTGTCCATGCTCACATGCTCATTGTTAAACCACCTCGGTATTTTACTTCCAGGGATAATACTTCCAACATTTAGAGCAAGACATCCGTATTGGTGGGTCGCCTTGTACAACCACAGAGCTGCGTTAGTTGCTGTTTTCCTACACAAAAATATATAAAAAGAATGGAAGAGGAAGGAAAGGAGCATGCACACCTGAACAATGTGACATCCATGAAATACTCATGCTAGTGCACCGTTCCCTATCAACTAATTCTCCACAGTTGTAACTCATTATTCCTATATTAACTTCATCAGGATCCAAAAGAATATGTAGATGTGGCAGATTATAAGGTTTTGAGGGCAAGTCAGTTCGTGAGGGGAGATCAGGAAAATATTTCAACCGCTTGCAGTGCTGTATGTTTAAATTATAGAGTCTGAAAAGGTCCTTAAGGCTGGGCAGCGTAACAAAATTGTTTCCCTTTAAATTTAGCTTTTCTAAGCAATGTAACTTTCCAATGGCATCAGGTATGTGAACTAAGTTACTGAAACATAGATCAAGTTCACGCAAACAAGGCAAAGTAGGAGAAGAAGGTGTTAACCAGCTAACTGACTAAAATAAATCCAAAGGCCGCAAAAGCATTTTTTTTGAGACAGGATGTTGACTGGGAATGGAAAGGAGCTTCAACTAAACAAAGCTTCTTCAAATGATCTGCATTCCATCGTTCATCTAGCAACTGATTATTATACAATTCTGTTAGGTAAGCTTTCTAGGTTTATGCAGTTTTTCAAATTAAAAAAAAGTAAGCTTTCTCAGAAGACCAGTGGATGGATTGATTTTTCTGAGCTGTGTCCTTTCAAGATTTACGGCGCCTCCAACATCTGGCATCACAACTAAATTTGTTCAGAAAGGGAGATCCAAACGTTTTAAATCGTGTAGAGGCTACAACAATGGGCAAGAAGTTAATAACATGACACTTGGATTTTTATTCATTTTTTTTTTAAATTAATCTACTTCCTAGTGTATAATTATTTCTTTTGTCTTACTTTACAAAAATATATATTATATTAGTGGAGGAAGAGCAGAGAAAAAAATTATTATATTAAAGAAGGAAAACCTCGAAATATTATATCATCCGGTTAGAGAACAGAGAAAAGAAAAGAAATATAATTATTATATTTTGAAGAAAGAATAAAATAATATTTTTTAATATCCTAATATAAAAATAAAATAAATAAAAATATTTTAAATCAAATTAATAATATAAAAAAATATGAAAATAAAACAATAATGAAAAGAGAGAGAGAGAGATTGTCATTTAATTGGTTTATTTATTAAAAAAATAGAAATAGAAAAATAATTTACATTACCTTTCGGCCTTTCCATAGTCGTTGAATGTTGCTCCCACCAAGATTTAACTCTACAAGTTTATCTGGTTGAAAACTTGGAGGCAAACACTCAAAAGGATATTGTGTCCAAGTAAGATACCCTAGTTCATTCGAAAGATGAGTGAGATTTCCTGAGAAGTTCAAGCACTGAAGTTGAAGCAACTTAAGGTGCTTAATTTTTTATAGACCATCTGCCCTCATCATCGTTGTTGTCTCATCAATATATAATCGAACAACAATGGCTTCCAGATTTGCAGTTGCCTACAAACATTGCGCAATAGAGTCAAATTATCATATTTTTTTAAAGTACATATTTTCGTAAAAAAATATGGAAACCTGAGATTTTATTATCAAACTATTGATTACCTGGTCGTCTAACATAGCTTTCTGAAGATCTTGGTAGTCCCACAATCTACTCCACTTCATAGGCTCCTTTGGCGATTTTTCTCGAACAATACCTCTGCCTAAATCCACTAACAAGCCATGCATACTTATCCTCCCATATTCAATTTTTATGAGTGATTTGTCAATGAGAACTTCTAGGCCATATTCAGGATGAAATCCACGAAAATTTAGAATTTCCTTCACATATTTTTCATCTTGGGAGTTCAAGAAGCAGGCAATATCCAAAAATATTTCTTTGTCAATTTCATCCAGCTGGTCATAACTTATACGCAAAACATCCATAATATTTCTACTTTTATTCTCTTTTAGCCTACCCAATGCACCTTTCCATTGTGATACATTTCGACCAAACAAAGATGACCCAATTACTTCAATTGCCAAAGGATGGCCTTGAGCATGTGACAGAACTTCACCTGCCAACTCTTATATTCGCTCAAAATATAATTAACTTTCAAAACAACTCGATAGCATTTTCCTCATTTAAGGGCTTGACACATGATAAACATAATCTATTCCATGTGTCCTCAATACATGCTCATCCCTGGAAATTATAATGATTCTGCTCCCTCCACCTAAGCATTCACGCAACAAAGTGTTCCTATTTCCTCTAAACATTCTCAGTTGTTCAACATCATCAACATTGTCAGGAACAACAAGTGCCTTTGCATTATGTAGCCTAGTCCGCACCAAATATGTTCCCTCCAAAGCATTGCAAATCTCTAGATTTTTCTCCTTTAGAGACTGTGAAAGTAACTGCTTCTGTAAACCTAATGAACTTGTATCTCGATAAATTTTGCTTACATCATCAATAAAACAATGAATATTATAATGATGAGAGATTCTTTCATATAAAGCCTGAGCAAGAGTTGGTTTTCCTATGCCACCCATCCCACTGATTCCAACTGTTAGGATCGAGCGCTTACCACTAGGCCAAAAGCTATAGCCATTAGTCAGAGCGCAACTCTTTTTACTTTAACAGCCCAAGCGCCACGATTCAATTGTGACTCGGTCCACCTGACCTTCGTCACAGGACAATTGATGCTACCTGCAACAATCTCCCCCTCAGCAATTGTCCTACAAGGTATCCCACTCTTGGATTGTGACTTGGCCCACCCGGCCTCTGCCACCCTCAGCAATTGTCCTACAAGGTATCCCACTCTTGGATTGTGACTTGGCCCACCCGGCCTCTGCCACGGGACAATTGTGCAACCTGCAACAATCTCCCCCTCAACAATTGCCCACCAGGAATCGAACTCGTGACCTTGGCTCTGATACCAATTGTTAGGATCGAGCGCTTACCACTAGGCCAAAAGCTATAGCCATTAGTCAGAGCGCAACTCTTTTTACTTTAACAGCCCAAGCGCCACGATTCAATTGTGACTCGGCCCACCTGACCTTCGTCACAGGACAATTGATGCTACCTGCAACAATCTCCCCCTCAACAATTGCCCACCAGGAATCGAACTCGTGACCTTGGCTCTGATACCAATTGTTAGGATCGAGCGCTTACCACTAGGCCAAAAGCTATAGCCATTAGTCAGAGCGCAACTCTTTTTACTTTAACAGCCCAAGCGCCACGATTCAATTGTGACTCGGCCCACCTGACCTTCGTCACAGGACAATTGATGCTACCTGCAACAATCTCCCCTCAACAATTGTCCTACAAGGTATCCCACTCTTGGATTGTGACTTGGCCCACCCGGCCTCCGCCACGGGACAATTGTGCAACCTGCAACAATCTCCCCCTCAACAATTGTCCACCAGGAATCGAACTCGTGACCTTGGCTCTGATACCAATTGTTAGGATCGAGCGCTTACCACTAGGCCAAAAGCTATAGCCATTAGTCAGAGCGCAACTCTTTTTACTTTAACAGCCCAAGCGCCACGATTCAATTGTGACTCGGCCCACCTGACCTTCGTCACAGGACAATTGATGCTACCTGCAACACCAACAACTCGAACCTCATTCACTGATCCCAAACATAGAAGATTTGCTAATTTTTCAACCCGAGACTCTATACCAACTAGATCATCGTTCCGAAGACTTAAGTTGGGACCCGATATGTTTAGTATGGTTTGAACAATTTGTTCAATTTCGGCATATTGTTGCCTGAAATTTTAAAGAAATGAAGAATGCCTCATCATTAGCCACCAAGAGAAAGAAAACAGATTGTACATGTATAGGTCAAGATAATAAAGAAGAGATATTTTATTTTTAAAGAACTTTATAATAAACATGTATATATTGAAGACCTAACTCTTCAACCTCTCTCAGGCCCATTTTAGATCCGGGACAATAAATATTAGAAAAATACATGAGTACGAAATAACTACATATACGTGCATGATATGGATAAGTGCATAAGTAATAAATTAGATTAATTAAGAACTTTTAAGAAATGAGAAAGGATTACTTGTTTCGAATATCCCAACCAGAGAGATTGGCCACATGTGTGAGCGCTTTTCTCCATCTCTGCACTTCCTCCACCTTCTCTTTATCTTCTTTGAATCTTTCTTCGTGTTCTGCAAATGCTCTCTCATAAAAGCCACTCTGTTTTCGCACCTCTGAAGGATCAACATCGTAAAATATAGGCAGAACAGATCTTGGCGATGTTTCAACGCAGTTACAGATCTCTGCTAGTTTACGCAAGCACCAAGTAGAGAAAGCATAGTTCTTTGAGAAGACCGCAATGAAAATGCGAGACCCTTGAATGGCTTGTAAGAGCTCTGGTGCTATGGATTCGCCTTTCTTCAGATCTTCATGATCTCTGAAGACATCGATACCTTTTGTTCGAAGAGCTTGAAAGAGAAAACCAATAAAGTTATTGCGTGTGTCTTCACCACGGAAGCTCACAAAGACATCATAAGTCTTGATGAGCTGAGATGAAGAAGCCATTGCAATTGGAAGCAAAGTTGTTGAAGGATCAACGTCATAAAATATAGGTATAACACGCCTTGGCGACGTTTCAACGCAGTTACAGATCTCTGCTAGTTCACGCAAGCACCAAGTAGAGGAAGCATAGTTTTGTGAGAAGAGAGTGAGGAAAAGGCGAGACCCTTGAATGGCTTGTAGCAACTCAGGGGCTATGGATTCGCCTTTCTTGAGATTATCATCATCTTTGAAGGCATGGATGCCTTTTCTGCAGAGAGCTTGAAAGAGAAAACCAGTAAAGCTGTTGCGCGTGTCTTCACCACGGAAGCTCACAAAGACATCATAAGTCTTGATGAGCTGAGATGAAGAAGCCATTGCAATTGGCATAAGTGGAAGCAAAGTTGTTGAGAAGGTGCCTATTAAGGACAAGTATTTTTCTACATACAATCGAAGCGTTGACATTGACGGCACACTATATTTCCACTTCCCATTCTACGAAGCAATTATAATTATAAAAAATGCAAAGAAAAACTCTATTTGTGGTTTAGGCACTTCTCTTTGCAGCTTCTCTAACTTATTTAATCTTTCTGGATTTATATAACGTCAAAGACAACGTAGTTCCAATGAAAAAAAAAAAAGACAAAACTGAAAAAACTCCTTGTCAGATCATTTCGGTGCCATGTGAGTATTCTGCAAGTTTATGCATTCCACGTCTCAAATTGTAGTTATTCAATATTTTAACATATTTATTTCAATTATAATTTATGAAAAATTAAACATACTTGCAAAATTTAAGAAAATCCTATTATAAAATTGTCTTTTATAAAGTTGAATGGTGACAAGTAAGCTAAAATGGTGAAATTATAAATGTTTCTTAGAAGTCAATGCACTTCGGAATTTATAAATAGATGTAGCATGACTACATGTATAATTGAAAGAAAAGAAATCAAATTAACAAAAATAAAATCATTTGTTAGTGGAAATTATTATTAATAATTGTGAGAGTGGAGTGATATTCAACACCTCTAAAAAGAGGAGGCATCGTATAAAATTGAGAAAACCATGATTTATTTTTTTCTTATTATTAAAAGATTAAAAATTTATTTTATATATATAAAATTTAAAAGAGTATAAACTTTTTGGGTTGACTATGACATCCGCATGTCAATCCTCCCTTCCATCCGTCTTTAAATTCTAAAATGTTTTAGATTTTTCTTTTAATTTAGTAATTTTTTTATAATAAAACATTTTTATAACATATGAGATGTATGAACACTCATCATGATTATGTAACATGCGTGTTAACTTATAATTGATGACGTATCAACGAATAGACATAAATCAAAGCTTTTAATTTGTTAGATACACACGAAATTTTTTAATACTACTCAAAACAAATGTTCAATATTGGCAACCTGAAACATAATGCATCTATAATTTTAAATAGGAAAATATATATATATATATATATATATATATATTAACTGAGGATGTTCAATCCCCGACAAATTGTATTATTAACCAAAGTATATAATTGTGTAAGGATTATAAAATCTAGAAATGGATAAAAGTTTGATTAATTGTGCTTGCATAACTCATAAGTACAAGAAAGAAGTGAAAAAATTATGTGTTTATGTGTTAATAGTCTTAATGAAAGATGATAAAATGTTGAGCAAATTAAGGAGCATATTTTATGTGATGATTTTCTTAAAAATTATACAATTTGGACAAGACATGGTATGTTAGGATATTTTTGAGAGGGTTAACAACAGAAAAATTTTCACAAATGGGTCATGAGTCAATTATAAAGGACAATATGACATCACCTTCAACTTAAAACCTTAAGGCATTAGATTATGGGTCTTTCTTCTACCTAATGTGGGACTTCAAACTCACACTTGAATTCTCAACATTTTCCCCTTAAGTGTGATTTCATTTCATATTGGTATACCTCCCTTCCAGCGGAAGCATTTTCTTAGCCATGAGTACCTAGTGATATGTCTCCCCCTCGAGCGCCTGAAACCCTTGTCACACCTACTATACTCAACTAACTTAAAACCTTAAGGCATTAGATTATGGGTATTTCTTCTACATAATGTGGGACTTCAAACTCACACTTGAATTCTCAACATTTTCCCCTTAAGTGTGATTTCATTTCATATTGGTATACCTCCCCTTCTAACGGAAGCATTTTCTTGACCATGAGTACCTAGTGATATATCTACCCCTCGAGCGCCTGAAACCCTTGTCACACCTACTATACTCAACTAAGTCGATAACTTGACGAACCATGGGGCTCTGATACCATGTTAGGTATTTCCGAAGGGGCTAACAGCAGGGAGACTCTCACAAATGGGTCATAAACCAACTATATAATGTTGAACATTCAAGGACTTGATGTTGCAAATAATGATCATGAAGAATGTTGATTTTGATGATGATCCAAGAGCTTAAAGACTTAGAGTATTGAAGATTGAAGATTGAAGATTGATGATTTCTGTATTGTAATAACTCTGTTTTAGTTTGATTGAGTCTGTAATTATAGAATCTAAGATAGCCGGTACATAGTCTGCAACTTAGAAGCTTCAAAAAGCCCAAATATATCATCCAGGCTCGGCTTTAATCGATTATATAGGGAAATAATCGATTAAAACAGTGAGAAAACCATTTTCAGTATATACTCACTGTTTTAATCGATTAAAACATCAAAATAATCGATTATTAGGTCAAATAATCGATTAAAACTTCAAATAATCGATTAAAACAGAGAGGTTTTGGGTTCTGTTTTTTTGGCTCTATTTTAATCGATTATAACTCCATTTAATCGATTATTCCAGTCTGTTTCTGATTTTACACTTCAAACAAACCCTATTTTCGAAAACCCAATTACCAAGAACCCTAGTTTCGAAATCCCCAAATCCTAAACCCTAATTTCCCTACTTAAACTCTCCTTTGGCACTCAGAAAATAAGAACAACCTTTTCCATACAAAAGTTAAGTGTTGTGAGTGCAAGAGAACTGTTTTTTGCAAGGAAATGGGGCTTTCTGAACCCGGTGTGGGCTAGAAGCGATAAGAATCACTAAGTGGAGTTCTTAGTGGATTGTGTGTTGTGCCGTCTCTGGGGAAAGTCGTTCTTCATCTCTTGGGGCTT